ACATCTGCAACTATCTATTCATGCTTGTAAGTCATACATATTTGCACTTTCATTATTTGCTGACTGGCTTCTTATCAGATGCTCCTGCATGTCTCAAAAAAGAACTGGATACAGTTCTTGCTTTACAGGCTGATATGGCCACTTCAGATCAGGCCTTGCAGACCACCCGCACCATGCTCAAAAGGGAGGCAGCATCGGATAACACCATGGTCACTCTTGATGGTTTAGAGAGGGGCCACCAATGTTTAATGGAGAAGGTCAAAGCGCTCTATGCTTCACTCAATATTCAAGACTGGTTTCCAGAGCTTCAAGGTGTCAATCTGGATTTCATCCATACCCTTCTGATGGCACACGACCTCAAGATCAATATATGCAAATGTGCAATTGGTAGTTTTTTCGAGTGGGATAAACTGGACAGGGCTGTTGGTGGGGCTCAGCAAGCTTTGGGTAAGACATAATCAAATCAATCATTTTACTTTCAAACTAATTCTAACATATCAGGCATGAAGCTTCATCAACAAACTTGTAAAGCAATAGCAAAGAGACAACCAGCACTGATGACTGCTATTCATAAGTTCAACTCTTATTGTGAGCACCTAGACAGCCTCTACGACCCTTCATGGGGGATACCACTTCCAATGGCACTTCTGACCAAACTTGCAGATTTGTGCAATGACCAGACCCTAATGGAGGACGTCTGGATTATGCCCTCTGCAGGAGACATACCATGCTGGTTGAATAATTTGGATGTGAGAGATGGAATCTGCACCCTCCTCAAACACAATCAATGTCAAGAGGAACAGCAGCATCTCAGTATTGAAGCTGACAACCTGTGCTCTTATTTTGGAGATGAGCTCTCTGCTTTAGAGCTCACGCTTTCTTCTGATGCAAGTAAGTGATTCCAGTGCTTCATTCTGCCATTTTCTGACAATCTCAATAGACCAACTGTTGATATTCTTGCTCCAAACCCGCCAAGACCACTTTCTTCAGCTACAATCATGCTGTGTAAATCCATTTGCTTCTGTAGCTCACTTTTCTAGTCATGCTAGAGAAGCTTCAGATGTCATGAAGACACTTATGGGAGGTGCAACCAGCGAAGCCAACCTCAGTTTGATTAATGATGCATTAACACTGGAAATTGATCACCAAGACGATGACATCCCAGACTTCGAAGCAGGGCCATCAGATGTCGATGCACATCAAATTGCATTTGCTGATTTCCTTGAAGAGGACGCCACTGCTAACGAAGATACAGAAGATATCAGCAATGTGGGAAAAGCCAGCATTACCATTTGTTGGGCAATTCTGGAGGTATGCTGCCATCTTCCATCTTCTTTGCTTTTTTGAAACCATGAATAGATACTTCAAGTTGATGAATCACCTGTGCCCTACAAGGATCTGAGTTTTGCTGCGCAAGGGTCAGGTACAGCTAAGATATGGCCCTCTCGGCATGGCTTCCCAGAACAAGTATTTGATCCAAGGGATATCTCCTTCCTTGGTTCCCTACTGTATGCCTCAATGATGTGTGTCTCAACAGATGTGCAATCTTGCTGCATGATGCCTACATGTCCACACATGCTGCGCAGCACACTGCCATTCTCTCTACTCATGACCTCCCACATATTCAATACAATGCACCTGATGAGATCCTCTGGCATCAAACTTCATGGACACATTATTGGGAGAAGGAAGTATGGATATTGCCCATTCATCGGCCAGTTCCTGTCGGTCATTGGGTACTCTGTGTTATCCATCATTCCTCTAGGAAATTCTATCTTTTTGACAGTTTAGCTGAGGAGCGCCCTTGGCAACATGACATCAAGGTGAGTGCATTATTATAGTATATGCAGGAATATTGACATTATCCACATAGGCTATTATGACACTTGTGTCTCATCTACTATCTATTGCTTGTCAACACCACCCTGCAGTATCACTTGATCTTGGAGAATGGGTAGCTCATCCACTTATTGTAAATTTATTTGTTGTGAAGTCTCAGTCCTTACTAACTACATTTTTCCAGCTTGAACCTCAGCAGACGAACAGTTATGACTGCGGAGTTTGGGTGCTAGCTGAGATTATGGCAGTCTTACAAGGTTTTCATCTTACAGGATTGCAAGAGGATGATATGGAGAGCTTCCAACATTCATTATATCGCCTCATTCTCAATCTTGACACACTGGAAATGGGAATTATTTAATGAATGTAGTAGTTAAGCAATGACTTTGTCCTGGGTAATTTTTATTTTAATGTCACCCTTGTAGTCTGACAGCCTCTGGAGGCTCTGATAACCGAGAAAATGAGCCTCTCAAAAAAACTGCACATTTTAAACAGAAATGTTAACTTGTTACTACTGTAGGCACATGTCCCAGAGATTTGATGCTGTTAAGGTTGTGTGCTCAAGGGGGTCGGATCACAAGGGCTTGGCCTCAGCTTGTACGCTGTGCCCCTTTCCTGAGTATGTGCCCTTAATTTCCAGGGGCTAGAACAGTCGTCCGGAGTTTCCGGGTTTTGACTAGGGCAGATAACGGACGTCCGGATCTGAAACGTGAGATAAATCCGACAGACGTCCAGATGTTACCTGGGCAAGCAGATAAGACTAATCCGGACAAAGTCTGGACTAGAAACTAACAGAGGATGGACTACCCTTAAGGTAGAGTCGGAAATGTAGTCTAGGATGCAATCCTAAGACTCAGAATATGACAAGAGACTTATCTTGAGTCCGGAGGACACAGGAATGAGCAGGAACTAAGATGATATTTGAACTGGAGTATTTCCGAGAGTTACAGGAGGTTTACAGTGGCTCAAAAAACTGTCCACATGTTTTTGCATTTTTTACTATTTACAATATTGTGTAAGAATACATAAAGACCTCAGTGACATGCTAATACCATATTGTAGTGCTGCTTCAGGGCTTTGGATTGAGCACCACATCATGAGAATCAGAGGAGATATGGTGGAGATACAAGGCTTACAAAATCATGACTCATGCGGACAGTTTTTTGAGCACATATTAAAACTATATAAATCATCATTTATGACACCATAACAATCATGCCACCATTAAATAAATTATAAAGTGGTGTCATTATGTCATTTTAAAACCATATCTAACTATACAAACCAAAAATTTCCATATGTCATGGTTATATTCACCATGAAAGCCACCCCCCCTGCTCAAAGGGATAGTATCCTCTCTCTTTCCTATTCTGGCCTCTCTGCTTGTCAAATTTCCTCTAGAACTGGAGTATCCAAGTCCACTGTGGCCAAGTTCATCAAAGAAAGTCACACAGACAAGGAAAACTTCTGTGAAGGGTGTCCATCCAAGCTCACCTCTACTGATAGGAGGGCTATTATTCAACATATCACTACAGGAAAGGCTGATAATGCTGTCCAGGTCACCTATTACATCAATTCCACCATCACATTCCCTGTCTCTTCACACACTGTGAGAAACATTCTCAAGACAGCTCATCTCAGGTCAGTAACAAGGAAGAAAAGGCTTTCCTCTCTATCACACATATGCAGAGAGGACTAGCACCCTTTTTGTTTCACATATATACCTTGCCATCTGACCCAATCCTATTTATTGTGGTCTTATATGATCATATAACATGCTTCCAGTCCATATAATCCAATTCTGATGGGCTAAGGCAAAGGTTAGTCATCTCTGCATATGTGTGATAGAGAGGAGAGCCTTTTCTTCCTTGTTACTGACCTGAGATGAGCTGTCTTGAGAATGTTTCTCACAGTGTGTGAAGAGACAGGGAATGTGATGGTGGAATTGATGTAATAGGTGACCTGGACAGCATTATCAGCCTTTCCTGTAGTGATATGTTGAATAATAGCCCTCCTATCAGTAGAGGTGAGCTTGGATGGACGCCCTTCACAGATGTTTTCCTTGTCTGTGTGACTTTCTTTAATGAACTTGGCCACAGTGGACTTGGATACTCCAGTTCTAGAGGAAATTTGACAAGCAGAGAGGCCAGAATAGGAAAGAGAGAGGATATTATCCCTTTGAGCAAGGGGGGTGGCTTTCATGGTGAATATAACCATGACATATGGAAATTTTTGGTTTGTATAGTTATGGTTTTAAAATGACATAATGACACCACTTTATGATTTATTTAATGGTGGCATGATTGTTATGGTGTCATAAATGATGATTTATATAGTTTTAATATGTGCTCAAAAAACTGTCCGCATGAGTCACCATTTTGTGAGCCTTGTATCTCCACCATATCTCCACCAATTCCCACGGTGTAGGGCTCAAATGAAAGCCCTGAAGCCATACTACAATGTGCTATAAGCATGTCCTTGAGGCATTTGTGAGTTCTCACACAATATCATAGATAGTGAAAAATGTCAAAACATGTGGACAGTTTTTTGAGCCACTGTATATACTGTGGGTATCATATAAGAATCAGTCAGCAAACATAAAGGCTATGTATGAAGCATATGCAGAGTCTATTAGTAAGTAGGATGGATCACAAATAATAAACACCGGAAATGAAATGTATGTAACAGATCAATAATCAAAAGGGAAACATGGTTAACCGGAGTCTGGAGACAGGGGCAGTCTAAATGGAGTTGGGCGCTGATATAGGGTTTGGATTCCAGAAGGGAGATAAAGATAGATCAGATCATTTGAGATCCGGATCTCAGATCCGGATATCTGGGGAAGCAGATTTAGAGTTGAGAGTCTGGAATGGCATATGACAGATGCACATCAAACTGAAGTGAAAATGTCTGAATGTAGAGAGCACCTGCCTTTTCATTAAGTCAGGAGGCACTACATGTTACCATTTCTGGAAAGCTCCACTGCCAGTGCAGTGGCATACCTTCAAACTTTGAAGTTCAAATTTTCGAGTTTCCTTGAACTTACTAGAATTTTCCTCATTCCAAAGATTTCTCTCGCACATGGTCTGCACATTATCAATTGATTTTTATCTAGAGCTGGTGCTACTTTCAAACACTGTCTAAGCACTACCTCCTGCAAGATGGCCATGACCAACAGCACATCAAATTCACCCTGCGGCCTCATTGATTCTGCCACACTCACGGATTCACAATCTTTTTCTATTTCTCAGATTGTGAGTAGTTGTCTAATTGGATGTTCAAACATTACTGACCTGCTTCTAGCTTGTCGATGTAGCCGTGTCAACAGAGGACACCCTACCCACTGAAGTCTCTGGAGGCTCCTGCCTCAGTGAAGAATGGAAGAACCTTGATGGGATACCTTGTATTATGGGTGGGATGAGGGCACTTACTGGTAAGATTAATCATGACACATTCATCCTATCTAAAAAATCATTTCAGCATCACTTGGTAGGATGCTCTGTGGGCGCACAAGTGCTGACTTCCCTTGGAAAACTCTCCCAAAGGAACTAGCTCACCTCAGGTATGTCCTCACCAATTACCCTGACGATACCTTGATACCTGGCAAGCTGCACCCCTCTCTCTCACACCAAAGGCATCCATGATCTGAGCCACCACCATCATGTCAATCTCATCAACCACCTCAAGGCAGGCACCCTCACCATCTGAGCAGTGAAGAGCGATGCTGCTCGTACATGTCTCACTACCTCAAAGGACCCCATTATAATCGGAGAAGCCCCCTCAGCTTGCTCTTTGCACTCCCATGGGCAGTGTGCATTTGCTGATGGTTGAATTGACAGAAAGGGTCTTCCTCGTCTTAGTTTACCTTCTTCTTTACCTACTTCTCATTGTCACACCCAATTTATTGTGGAAATCACACGACCACCTCCTTGTCCAGCTTCTCAAGCAGTTCCAAAACCATCTGCTGTGCATATCAGCAATCTTATCCCACACATCGCTTCTGTCAAGGAGAGACCATCCAGTTCTGAGGATGATGACATGACTGGCAGTGCAAATGATGAGGATGAGTCAGAGTTGCAATTTAGTGACAGTGAAAGTTGCCCTGCAAAGTGCCTTAGACATTGATCAAAGTCCATCCTATCATCAAATGTAGATAGCAGATGTATGTAGGTCATACTTTGGGACTAACCTAATTCTGACATTGTGTTGTCTTAGGCATGAAGTAGATTTTCAGCCATGGATTAATGAAATCTTTAGTCATGAAGCCATTTGATACTGAGCCCCCTTTGGAGCCTCTGGAGCCTCTGGAGCCTCCAGAGGTTCACCAATTCACCATCTACACCCTCCTCAGTGGACCTCCATGATGTCTGGTACATTGTTTGCTTCTAGACCTTCATTTTTCTAACTTGTTTAGTCTCAAAATTAAGGACTCCCTTCACACACACTTAAATTTTGATATAAGTATGAGGTGTTGTGCCCTCCTTTTTTTTACCCACCTTTTGGATCTGCAACTCCAGTGAGTATTTTCATTGCTACATGCCATTTTTTCTGATCTTGCACAAAGGGCATGAAGCTTAATCTATCAGACTACTATTCTGACCCTACTGATGACCAGGCATCCTCGCCTCCCATGTACCTTCCTGCATTATCACCTGCTGCTATGGATTCCGAATACATGCAGGGAGGATATGTGCAGGAACAGTTCGGAGGTGGTCAATACAAGGATCCGCCAACAGAACTCACTCCACCAAGACCACAGAGCAAAATCAAGCCCACATAACGTGATGTTAGTATTGCAAGGGATGCTGCTATCTGACATCAAGCAGCCTGTGCTCCCAGTGACTATACCACTAATACCTTCACATCTGGTAATTCTTATTGAAGATCTTTTCTCCAGATTTCTGACTTTGTCCTTGCTGCTAGAGTCGATGCACTCCAGCCATCACAACTCTCCTTTTGTCAAGGCTGTACCTGCTCAACACCCTGTGCAGACTCAAGATCTATTTTCCAGCACATTGGCACCCACTAGCCAGCAGCCACAGCCAGTCATGCCTCAAAATTTGGACATATTCACCCAGCAGCCCCAGTACAGCACTCTCAATCAAAACTCCATGGTTCCTTATAACCTTCTCACCATACCGTCTGGAGTTCAGCCATTGTGGCCCATGCCATCACCTCTGATGGAACACAAGGCTCCCAGACTCTCCCCTAGCCCACTTGCTTCATATTCACAGTTACCGACCTCACCACTTCTCATGCCTACAGTTGCAGGCCCAAGCTCTCAGGGAGATTCGCAGCCTGATATGCATGGGTCAGACAGGCCCTGGAATTTTTCATCTGTAGTGTCAGCAAACTCTTTGCCACCTCAAGGAGCTGTTCCAACAATGCATATCATCCCACCAACTCCCCTCAAGCCTTTCAAGCTTTTGGCTCCACCTTCTGCTGGTATGCCACGTCACTGTGCAGTCACATTCAGTCCATCAGCCACTGGAATATCTCAAGTCAGGTCTGATGTTATGATGGATGATAATAATGCTCCCATTGCTGGTCAACATTCATCAGAGATGAACTCTGCACTCAAAGAAGGGTGCACTGCTTTGGATGCTGTTGTCACTGATACTGCAAAGAATACGAATATGCCATCCTACCAGGTAATCAACCTGTGGATGAAGAGTCAAGGTTGAGTGATCAATAGCACCAACTACTGGAATCTTTACGCAGGGTACTTCAAGGACCAGATGCACCAGGAACTTGTAAGGCTTGGTGATGGTGCTCCTCCTCAGGATGGTTCAATGACACCAAGTAAGTGGTTGCTCAGTGCCACATATTGATCTTACAGGCACTGGTGTTCACTGTCAGTGTTATGAGCTCTTCAAGAAAAGCTACCCAGACACTTATCAGGATATCCTCAATACCTACAGAGAACTCAACATGCTGACAGATAATCAAACCATTGCGCAATGCACTCAATCATTCCAGAAACTTTATAAGAGTATCGTGAGTAATCTCATTCTGATTCTGTAATATTTTCTGATAAGTTGAGTACCTTACCTGTAGCTTGATGGAGCTGCTACTAGGCAAGGGTTTGAGGCTGCCATTGTCATGTGTGGTAACATTGTCAATGAAGATGTATCACTAGGCCATGTTCACACAATGCCTGGTGCTGGCAGTGTAAGTGTTACCTTCCTTGAAAGTATTTTATGTATTAACACCTCTGTAGTTTTTCGAAAAGTGCTGCCAAGCTAGTGATGACGCCATCATCAGGCATATCAAAGCACATGTGTACAACACCATCTTGCTGTCTGCTGTGGAGCAGGCTTTCAAGGGCACAGAAGGAGATCAAGAGCAGGTGCCAATAGAGATCCTGGATGTGAGCTCATCTGAGTCAGAGAAGGAGAAGGATGTGTTGAAATCGCTGAAGGCTGGTCTCATCAAGCAAGTTGGTACGTAGCACATCACATCCCATGGTTTTATGAGGTCCTGATATTTTTTCCTTAGCAGACCTTGGTGGGAAGTTTGCCAACAGACCTTTCCTGTGGATCCTGATGCCTAGTTCCCTCGCTAATGACCATCTATGCATTGAGGGGTATCCTGTGCACTTGAGTTTGATGCCAGGAGAATCTCATAACATCAATTCACAGAGTAAAGGTGTCACAGGACTGACACAACATGAAGTCAATGTGCTTGCTCATTCATTGAAGGCAAAGATGATGTGCGTTGTTAAGGTAACCAAAACCATAGGAGGTATGTGCCAATACACTTATTAGACCACTTTAGCTCATAATAATTTGACAGGCACAGTGATAGCCTCCAAGGAGCCTGTCATCATTGGTAAGGCCCCTCCAGCAGACTCTATTTTCCCAAATGTGAGGCAGATGTTTGTTAACAGAACATTTGATTATGGTGGCCCTCCATGCCTTCAAGCCAGCTCTACCATTACCAGGAAGAAGAAGCCAAAGGTCCCCATGTCAGCACACACTCAGGATGATGTTATGGGTATTGTGGCCAAAGACACCACAACAACCATCCAGAAAACCAACTTGCATCCTGAGGTACTCATACCTCCTCCATCACATCCATTTAAGCTTGCAAAGCGACTCCCTACTAAACCAGTGCCAGCTCCCATAGAAATTCTGTCCAGTAAAGATGGTGTCAAGAAGCCTGATGAGGAGCCTCTTGACTCATCCAATGGCAAAATCCATAGTGAGGATAATGCCGACTATGGTGATTTTTCACATTCATGGAAACGGAAGCTTGATACCAGAGTTGTACGAGCTATGAAGAAGCATGTATGACCAATTGGGTTAGAGGAGGAGACGGCCATTGAGAACAAGCCAGGTGCAAAAGCTGCAGGCAAGGCTCATGCCAAAGGAGGGTGCTCATCTCCTCTCACAGTAGGGTTCTCAGGAGATGAAGAACAGCAACCACAACCTGCTATAGGTAAGTCTTGACAGTTATCTCAGTTCAGTAGTGATCCTGACTGATAATTAAACAGACAATGCAGCAATGCGCCTGCGTGATGGATGTCCTGACATTGTGAAAGGTATTTTCTCTACATAAATGTCCAAAGATTTACTAAGATAAGCCCAGTGCAACATGCACGCCCAGTGACTAAAGGAGGCCAATCTGCTCTCACCAAGACCATGCGTCTCTTGCAAGAAGATGAAGACTCGCAGAGTAATAGCAGAGCTGTGCAGCCTGAGACATTGGTTGATCATTTGACCTCTGTGCAAGTCACTGAAGCACCCATTCTTCCAGCAGCACCATCTTCCCCACATAAAACCAAACTTCCTGCTGAACACACAGGTGGTAACAGACAGTCTGGCCATGTCCAAGATGTGCCTCCCCCACTACCGCAAAATCTACCATGTGCCCCATCTGAGGATATTTGTCCTAGCCCTGTCATTTCTAACCTTGATGCACCAGAACCTTGCCATGTTGACCCTCATGGGGCACACAACAATCACTCCCGTGAGCCTCACGACACTCAATACCTTCATGGTGACCTGCGCACTCATCGAGACAGCTCTCCCACACTCCCTGATGATGATTATCACCCCAGTGATGCACCATGTGGTGCATACATGTACCATGAAGACTTGGGCTGGCATGCATATGCCAGGCAACCATGACCTGGAGGAGAGTACCCTTATCAGAGGGAATATTTGTATTATGGTGACTGTGGTGAACCTTACCCAGGTTATCGTGATGCCAGTGGGAATAGGTGGTCATATTATCATGATGTGTGGTATGCAGACCATGAACTTCTGGATGACCATTCACATGGACCTCCCCCATCAGACATCCATGGAGAACACATGCATCCAGCCGGTTGCAAAGGTCAAGTTGGCTACCAGCATGCATATCAGCGTGAGGCTTGGACAGATGGGCATTGTGGGAGCAGGAGTCCCATTGCCAATGCAGTGCTGGATCATCTGAAGGAGGGGCCATTCCAAGGTAAATCCAAGGTGTCTGTTGTCTCAATACTATGCTTTTGTACAATGTTCCAATCACTTGCTGTGTGTAGAAAATACACCATGATTCATGTCTGATTTGGTGTGTGGGATAATCATTAAAAAAATCATGCAAAATTACATTTTGGCATATGAATACAAGATGACATATGGTTAGTTGATGTGTTCAACCAGGTTGCTCATGACATGACGCTACCCATACATGGCACACAGAAGTGTTTCCAAAATTAGCAAGATGTTCTCAACCATTCAACTACTCCACTTGACTACCAACCATTCCCATGATGCCGCTGCCACAACCAGTGAGCACAACTTCTTATCATAAATGCCTCTATGGATCGGTCAGTACCTGCAATGCACTCCCTGAACCTCGGAACAAGATTGCTATGGATAAGCTCTTGGAGGAAGAATTCATTGGCACCGTCTTATGGGAAGAAAAATCACTCCCCAAAGATGCCAAGTCTGTTATGGATACCCTTATCTTACAGACTAATTTCACTCCAGCATCTCTCAACAAAATTTACTATTTCAAGTCTGGGCCAAGAGGGAAGAGGGTTAAGAGTGGGTCTATCTTTCAACCTGCTGCACACCATGGCATGAATGCAGAATGGCTGTTCGATAACAGGAATGTCCAGCCAAAGTTGTTGGTAGACTCCAGAAAACAGAAGAAGAGGGTGCAGGTACAGAAGGGACAGGGATGAAAGGCAGGCAGGGTGCAAAAGACACAACCACACGCACAGATGAGCATGGCATTGGCCATGTTGACCAATACAGAAGTGGAGATATTGGATTCATCTTTCACAATGCCTGAAACCGACAAGAGCTTCGGTGCCAAAGGATACAACAACAAGCACCCCAGCAAGAAGCAGCCTCAGGCATCAGCAACAACAGAGGGCAAGTGGACCCTCCTCTTCAACATAGTGCAAGCTGCCATGCACATGATGTACAAGAAAATTTTCCCCAATCCCTCCACTGCATTCCCCTTTGGTGCCATGAACATTATCAGTGGCCCACCAAAGTGTATTTGGTCCTCCCAATTCTGTAATACTCCCATCCCAGACAACACCAATGCACAGAAGCCAGATATTATTCTGGTGGATTGCAATCTACGCAACCTCTCATTGCGATGGTCCAATATTATCACATGCATGGAGCACACAGAAAGCAAACTCAACTCTTCCATACCTTTGTATTATGGTAGCAGCACTAAAGGGTACCTGTTGATGTGAGAACAACCTTGGCGCCAGTTCATCTTGATCTTTACTATTGCCAATAACCTGCTTCACCTTCACTACTTTGACTGCTCAGGTCTGATCATTTCACGCCCCGTCAATATCCTTGAAAATCCTGTGCATCTTCTCAAGGTTTTAAACACCTTAACACTCACGCACACCAACAACCTCATGTACAATCCCACAATGCATATGTGCAATCCTGCCTGCAAGGGCTCGCATGCCAATCTGTGGGAGAATGCCATAGGCTGGATAGAAAACCATGATAGATCCCATCTATCAATCATGAGCATGCTTTGGCGAAGCCAAGGTTTCTTTTCTCATGGCACGATTTGTTATCATGTTCAGACCTCAGATGGGACAGAGTATGCACTCAAAGACTGTTGGGTCACCAAGGACAAGAAAAACCACGAGGTGACCATTCTCAAGATGGTTGAAGGAATCCTGAATGTAGTCAAGCTTGTGGCCCATTGGGATGTCCTCTACAATGGGGAGCCAGACTGCACATATCGTATTCAAGCTTCCCATGGTGTTTGTACCTCTGGGTTTATTTGCAGATTCCACCAGCACCTTCTGTTGACCCCCTGCAGAGAACCACTTGTGTTCTACTCCTCGAAGCTTGAGCTGTTGAGAGCCTTCCATGACTTTGTCTCGGGTGAGTCTCAAGTGTGTTGAAATTGAATCCTGAGACTGACCCATCAGTGTTTAGCTCATAGTTTAATGCTCACAAGTCACGTCCTCCACGGAGACTTGAGTCCAAATAATTTTATCATCCATGATGGACAAGGTTATTTTATTGACTTTGATCATGCTTGCATTATTGTGGAAGGCACTGTTAGTGTTCCTTCAGAGGGCACGGTAAGTGATACTTACAATTTTCACAGCATGGCACATGGCTGAGTGCATTATCTGAAGGGTACTAGGCCCTATATGTCAATTTGTCTTCTCCGGGAGGGTATTGCAAAGGGTGCAACAATCCAACACACAGCAAGTGATGACCTGGAGTCATTGTTTTTTATCTTTGTTGAATTTGCAACCACCTTCAATGGGCCATGTGGCTTCATGAAAGATGAGGGCAGGAGGCCCTTGTGGGTTGATAAATTTGAGATCTCAGGTGCTGATCCCTGGTTGGCAAAGCAGGGATATGTGCTTGCACCTCACAATGACTCATCATTGATGGAAAAAACTACTTCATTCTTCACACCATTCAGTCAAATCATACAGGAGTGGCATCATCTAATTCTAGCAGCAGCCAGTGACCCAAGCGACCCCCCCCCCCCCCCCATTGGCATAACTCATGCAGCACTCGCAGTGCTCCTGAAAAAATGGATCTCTCAGCTCCCTGTGGATGCTCCCACAGAAATTATGGTGCCCATGGCATCATCATCAAGATTGGGACATCCTCCACATGATGATGTCCAATCATCTGCGGGTGCTTGTTGTTCTATGTGCATCCAACAGAGAGTGTCATAGCCCACAAACCCTCCTTGTTCTTCCCACATCCAAATGAGACAACCCTCTTCTCGCATGTCTTTTCTGTGTATGTTTTTCATTGCAATGCATTTTAGTATGATACAGTGTAGTATGCCACATGTTATATGATAGATACCTTCCTGATCCAAATATCAATGATGGAATGTTTGATACCTGTGCCTTCACTGGAGAGGTCCTAGGTACATAGGCAGGCACCACTTTTCTCCCGTTCCCACAGTCTTAGAGACCTTGTTTCTTTGTAGAGCGCAAAAGAGCACCACGGAGACAAGAGGAGTAACAGGAGCACCAAGAGCTCCACAGGAGGTGAGAGATCTCATACTCACATGGGAGGGTACGTCTCACAGACTAGTTGCGCCCTACAAAGAAACCAGGTCTCTAAGACCACAAAAGTGGTGCCAAGGGTGCAGTATGCAGCTCGATCTTTCTTCAATTTCACTTCGCGTTTCTTTCAATCTTGCGAGAATCGACCTACACCTTGGACCAACATGTTAACACTCGAGTGAGTCACCGATTGCAAAGAGTCTCCTAGTTGCCCAACAAAAATTCGGGTTGGATGCAGACAAAATGCAGAGTCCTTCAGGCTTTGTCGTAGTGTAGTGCTCTTCACCGCTTTGCCTTGCTCGCGACACGCAGGCACACAGTCGCGGATACACCGCTCTATCGGGAGATGTTCCAAGAAAGACGATCCAGCCCATTGTCGCACTAGGTCCATCTGGTATGTCTGTGCCCAATATTATACTCCTCAATGAAGGGTCGTCTCTCACATTGATTGCTTGTTGCTTTGCTTGTCCCAGGCACTCGTCCATTTCCTCACTTCAATTTGTTCTTCTATCTTCGTATGTTCTTCCATGCCTTACACGTCGCATATCCTTGCACCCATCACTCTCGTGGTACTCTTGTTGTTACCATACACATACTGTACTATATGCAATGAACCACGTTCCTTCCCATTGATTGAGTTCTATCAACACTTAAACGTTGAACTTGTATGTGCGTTGTACAACCGAAGCCGAAAGACCGTGCAATATCCAAACACGCCCCCGCTGCTGTTGCAATCTTCTGTTTCTTCAATCCACTTTGGGAAACGTATTGAACATACTTCTCTTCATCCGTCTGGGCATCTCGTATGATTTCATCCATTGCCTTACGATTATTCTATGCTCTCAAAAACCTGCTACCTAGCCATCTTTCTAGCACGACGTTCGCTCAAACTACCCCCAATTCGAATGCAATGTTATGTAGACATACAGTAGACGATGAATCAATGTACACTCAATCTCGTACTCCAGTGTCTCTGGCATCTCCGCAAATTAATTTACTGGAAAAAGATCATCGTAATCAAGTGCTAAAGGACCAAATTGATTAACTGTGAGAAAGCAAAAGTCCAGAGACTCACTCGTAGCAGTGCTGCCAACGTGTCCCATGGGTCATGCAGCTCAAATCCAGCTCTGGACCTCCACGAGGTAACACAAATGCAATCCGAGGATTATATCTAAACGCCTCTCGTGAAGCGGGTGGAACCCAGAATAAAAGCCGACCATTGGGTCCCATCATCCATCCATCGTCTCTCAGAAAAGTTAACGTAGACCTGCAGTCATCATTGGCTGTGCCTGCGAGTAGCTCAGCAGTATCGCGCAGTGCATGAGTTGAGTTTGATGAGAAGGAAATGAAGTCGTAGTTCGCAGTGTTGGGTGTTGGGACGGCCGCTGTTGGACGGGGGATGCAGCTGCCATGCAAGGAGGATGGTGAACGGTCTTCTGCGGCGTGGTCCTGCAATGACTTCCCAATCACCACATACCAGACCCGGACAGTCCCATCCCATGAACAGGAAATGATGCGAGTCCCATCCGGGGAGAACAAGACTGAATTGACTGAAGTAGTGTGCCCCCGCAAGGGCGGACCAATTGGCTGCCATGTCGCTACATCCCACAGGCGGACAGTCCCATCGTCCGAACCGGAAACGATGCGAGTCCCATCCCGCGAGAACGAGACCGTTCTGACCAAGTCAGTGTGCCCCTCCAAAGGCTCACCAACTGACTGCCCCGTTCCTACATCCCACAGCCGAATAGTCTTATCACGCGAACCAGAAACCATACGAGTCCAATCCGGAGAGAACGAGATTGAGTAAACACTCGAAATGTGCTCCAGTAAGGACTGGCAGACAAACTTCCCCATCACTGCATCCCACAGCCGGACAGTCTGATCGTGCGAACCAGATGCGATGCGAGTCCCATCCGGAGAGAACAAGACTGATCTGACTGAATAAGTGTGCCCTTCCAAAGGCTCACAAACTAGCTGCCCCGTTCCTGCATCCCACAGCCGGATTGTCTGGTCATCCGAACCAGAAGCGATACGAGTTCCGTCCGGAGAAAACGAGACCGAGAAGACAATACCAGTGTGCCCCAGCAAGGGCTCACCGACTGGCTTCCTTGTAGCTGCATCCCACAGTCGGACCGTCCGATCGTCTGAACCTGTCACGATGCGACTTCCGTCCGGTGAGAACGAGACTGACCTAACCCAATTGGTGTGCCCCTCCAAGGGCTCACCGACTGGCTGCCCTGTAGCTATATCCCACAGTTGGATAGTGCCATCCCTGGAACCAGTCGCGAAGCAGGTGCCATCTGGCGATAGCGAGACTGAGATAATTGAATGAGTATGCCCTAGTAAGGGCTCACTATCTGGCTGCCCTGTAGCTGCGATCCACAGTCGGACAGTGTTATCTCCAGAACCAGTCGCGATGCGAGACCCATCCGGAGAGAATGAGACTGAGTAGACCCGCCCACTGTGCCCCTCCAAGGGCTCACCAACTGGCTTCCCTGTAGCTGCATCCCAAAGTCGGACGGTAAAATCGTCCGAACCCGTCACGATGCGACTCCCGTCAGGCGAGAACGAAACTGACCCAACCCAATTAAAGTGCCCCTTGAAGGGCTCACACACAGGTATACCCGTTCCTACATCCCACAGCCGGACAGTCATATCACCCGAACCAGATGCGATGCGAGTCCCATCCGGAGAGAACGAGACTGATCTGACCAAAGAAGTGTGCCCTTCCAAGGGCTCACCAACTGGTAGCCCTGTTCCTGCATCCCACAACCGGATTGTCTTATCCTCCGAACCAGAAGCGATGCGAGTCCCATCCGGCGAGAACGACACTGACTTAACGTTGTCAGTGTGCCCCCGTAAGGGCTCACCAACTGGCTGTCGCGTTGCTGCATTCCACAGCCGAACTGTCTTGTCGTCTGAACCTGTTACGATGCGAGATCCGTTCGGCGAGAACGCGACTGAATTAACCGACTCAGTATGCCCCAATAAGGGTTCACCAATGAGTTGCCACGTCGCTACATCCCACAACCGGACAGTGTTATCGACTGAGCCGGACGCGATGCGCGTCCCATCCGGTGAGAAAGAAACAGAGGTAACATAAGAAGTGTGCCCCAGCAAGGGCTGGCCTACTGGCTGTCCAGTCGCTGTATCCCACAGCCGCACAGTGCAATCATCCGATCCAGTCGCAATGAGAGTCCCATCCGGTGAGAATGTCAATGAGTTAACGTCACCAGTGTGCCCAATGATCACAGTCTGAACGGCCGTCCAGTTAATATCACGTCCAGATGCCACGTGAAGAGAGTTGGGAAACCGTGGAGAAAACGTTTTGGATAGTGTACAATTGACAGGCGAGAATGGTAGTGCTGATACATAGAGATGCGGGGTGCTGTGCAAGATGATGCCGCCGAAGACTTGGATAAATCTCTGCACGTCCATTGCAGCGGACGAGGCATCTTCGTATCCAGTGTGACACTGCAATTGCAATCGCGCGTGAGTGAGCATGTAATCTGACACTCAATAAACATGTACTCACCTTCAACCACTTAGCAATAACCGGAAGGGCGGGGACTGCGCCGCTAAGCGCATTCATAAGGCCGAGTACCTCGAGCCAGAATAACAGTCGCTCATGCTCGAAGAATGATTTGATTTCTTTGGCGAGTTCTGGATTGAAGTGAGTTGTTTGCACGTGGACAGGCCAAAATCGGCAGGCATAGGATAGGTGTGGAAGGATGTATTTTTCAATCCGTTCTTGCAGCCCGGGATCTTCGGAATTAGAGAGATACGATGATTTCAAATCGCAGATATTGAAGGAAAGTCCACGTTCCATCACTCGAAGTGATGCGAAAGCAAGGTTGTGTTGTGCTTTTGACACGTCGACGAAAAACACTCCACTATGTGATTGGTCCGTCAGGAAATCGCGGAAGGATGCATGAAGGGGTCGGATGGGGGTAGATGAGTTTGTGGTGCCGCTGAGGAGGGATCCCATATGTTCAACCATGACCTCCACTTGATAACGCTCGTTTTCATCTAGAAAATGTTTCCGCATGGAATTCAGGGAATTCAAGGGGAGGGGTTCAACTGTGCCAAGAATTTGACCCATCACGGAACGAAATGTCGCTAGCTGTGTTTGCTGAAACTCGGGGTCCGTGTGTTTATCCTTTCGCATGATCTCCGTAAGAATGAAGTCGTACATATCGTACAACAAGTGTTCCCGTTTGACAGGATCGCGGGACACCATAATATTGAAGGACTGATCAGAGGATAAACCAGGCGGGGGTGCTTCGATGGATTCGCAAGCAAGACGTGCCCACTCGAAAAGACCATCAGCTTTCTTGGCGAGGGCTGTATACTCTTTGCTCCTAAATTGTGAAAGCCCTTCCAGCTTCTTCGACACGTAAGCGTGGATATCGTGTTCCGCGACTTCTGGTGGAATGTCGTCCATGGAAATCCTTCGAATGTGTTGAGCTCCCGCAAACGCATTCTGAATATCGCGAAGCGGGCGAGAGGTAACGATAAACCGGAAGTTCTTTGGGAGCTCCGTGATTTTGGGAACAGCAGAGCTCTGAAGTTTACCAGAAAGAATGCGGAGAAGGTCGGATCGTGTCTTGGCCGCGCCACTCTCGTCCAGTGCGTCGATCACGATCACGACAGGGCCC